TTTCCAAGAGGACAGGAACCCTGCCTCTGCCATACCTGGCACCTCCAGCTTCTGCAGGTGCTGCCATTCATACAAGGCCCTTCCTATGTCCATCTTCTCCACCTGGAAAACTTCCTGTTTTAATACCCCAATCCTCTTGCTCACCTACATTTTCCCAGTTGGTAGCTGTGTGTTTCACACACACAACCCATCTGTCAGTAGAACCCAAGCCCTGCTGCTTCCTTGGCCCCCGCCCACCTCTCTGCTGACTCAACTTCCCTGGCCCCTTTTCCTGTCCATTATTCATGCAGGACACAGTGTGATTCCCTGGCAAGGCAGCCAACCGAGGTTGCCAAACCACCCAGAATAAGACTGATCTGGTGAGATCTCCACCAACCCCAGATCCCATGGCCACGCTCCCCAGAGAGCTTCCACCTCGTCCCATGTCCAGTCTCTTCCTGAGGCCCCCAAGCCTCCCAGCTGCCCGTTGAGCACAACTCCCTTCCCAATCTGTCCCACACCTGCCTCTCCCTCCTGCCCCCCATCCTTGCAGCCATCTCACTGTCCCCGTACAGTTAATGATGGAGGATTTTTAGCAGGAACCCTGAGGCTCCTGTGGCCACAAGACCTCCATCAGCAGCCTCCAGGGAGGGCAATGGCGGAAACAACAATGGAGCGGGGTGGGGGGCAGCAAGGACAGTGAGCATGAGTGACAGTGACAATAAGCCACAACGTTCCAGAGGCACAGAGATGAGCCAGTCAGGGTGGCCCAGGCTGAGGCAGGAAGGACCCTAAACAGCACAGGTCTCCAGAAGGGATCTGAACAAACGGGCTGGGCAGGAACAAGTGTTGTTTTGCCATTGCTTCAATATTGTGGACATTCATAAAATTAATTTGCTAAGCAAGGAGATAGATTCAACCTTGCATTCCCATGGCAATACCTCCCAGGCCACTTGCAGAGAGTGAGCTGGTCAGTCTCAGCCTTGAGATTTGGAGATTATACAGAGAACTCGCTCAGGCTGTGCTGAGGTCTCCAACAGGGGGCTTGTGCAGCCCCAATTGAGGAATGTGCAGCTGGAAGCCGTGAGCCCCATCCTACTTAGCTTTCCTGGAGAGTACCGTCTGCGGACCTGAATCCCGATGAGGTCATGGAACAGCCGGGCAGCCCGTGCCTCTCTCCAGGACCTGGCATGCAGCACATGCAAGCCGCGTCTCCCTGCCAGGCCTGTGCATCCTCCCAGGAGGCCAGCCAAGCCTGCATTCTACCAGCCAGGGATGGCTTCACAGTCCCACCATCCAGGAGAAAAGGGCAGCCCAGCTCCAGGCCACAGGGGAGGCCTGGCAGAGAAGAGCAGCAAGTTTGGGCCACAGGCTGCAGCAGCAGCCAGCGCCTGTGCATTGGTGGCTGCAGCTCCAGCATCACTTGGCCATGGCGGCAATGTCCGGCTCCTGTCTGCTCAGCATGTTTCCCAAGAGCTTTGGGATCAGGTGTGAGGGGCTGTAGCTCCACAGCCCAGACAGCTGCTGTGAACACAGAGCTGGGACACCAGGAGCCCCCTCCTCCTGGTGATCACCCCTGCAGAGACCCTCCAAATCATGTAATGGGGGCCCTGCTGCCTCTTCTGCCTTCCTCATGGCCCCCAATAGGCTGGCTCTATTTAGCTTGACTTCCAAGGGCTGGAAGTGGCTGTTTTCTAGATCTACCCACACACAGTGGAAATCCACTGGAGAAAGGAACAGGCCTTCCAGCAAAATGAGAGCAAGGCACCAACAGGCTGCTATGGCCCAGCCCTGCCCTGTTCTCAGGTCCACCTGGCAAGCAACCGAGGGGACAGGTGAGGTCACAACAGAAGACAAGTGGCAGGGCATGCAGACAAGGGGATGAGGGCTTGTTTGGAAGGATGTTCTTGACTTGACAGAGCTCGCTTTAGCAAACCCACGTCAGGAGACGTCACAACTAGGCCAGCTTGAGGGGTGCCTGCCAGACAGAGGGGACGCTGCCACTCAGCAGCAAGAGCCAACGAGGCTTCTCTGTGTTGCTCGGGGAAGTCAGAAAGGGTAGTTGTGCAGGTCAAGAGGATGTCCCCACAAGGGAGCAGGGCTGATGTGGCCCTGGACAGCCCTGCAGCCAAAAGCAACGAGAAACCACAAACATCCCTTAAGTCTCATCTCAGTCCCTGATATTCCTGATGCCTGGGAACCTGGGTCCCACAGTGACTTAGCCCACTCCCTCGAACACAGAAAAGGAGGGAAGCTCATGTTTCCCAGGAAACTACATAAGATGCTTCTTACAAGGCTTTGGAAACAAGCCTCCCACAGGCTCAGTCTGATCCAGAGGCAAGGATGATCAGCTGCTCACTGATCCAGCCCCAAACCACTCCTTGCCCAGTGTCCCCCATCTGGGGGTCAGTGTCCCAATGACCAATACGGCTGTCCCCAGAAGCAGGGACAGTCCTCATCACCTGTTGCCATGTTTGGACCCCTCTCTGTGCAGCCAGAGCATCAAGTCCTCTGAGGGGCTGGTCCCAGCCCACACAGACAGCTTCCCTAGTGCTAGGCCTTGCTCTAGGCTGGAGGGGCTGTGGTCCACAGAAATGACAGGCAGGTATCGCAGTACCAGAGTGATTCGTTCCCATTCTCAAGCCCAATCAGATATGGTGATGGCAATTACATCTGTCATCTCAGCTACATGCTTGGCTGAGGCAGGAGGACTGCAAATGACAAGCCAATCTGGTCAACTGAGGGAGGCCTTGTCTCAAAATAAAAATTTTCAAAAGACTGGGGTTATAGTTTTCAGTGGTAGAGCACGTGCCCCACCGTGCATAAAGCTCTGGGTCAATTCTCAGTATTATAAATGAATGAATGACTGTCCACAGGTAGCCATGGAGACCACTAGCCAGCCAAGACACCTAGGAAGGGACCATGGCATGCTGAGGAGCACCTTCCAGGGGCTCAATTGTAGACAGAGACTACAGGAAATTATACAGCTTCCTGCAGCTCAGTTGTAGCCAGAGAGAGGCGAGGCCACTGTGGCCAAATATCAGAATCTAAGGAAACAAAAGCAGATCCGTGATAGGTTTTTAAGTGAAATCTCCTAATGTTAGTATCAGCAGCTAATTCAAACAGTTTTAAAAAAAACTGTGCAAGCTGATACATATTCTCCTCTGGGCCAATGAGCACCAGCTTCTTACCAGTGGATGTAAACCTGCATGAGATGTCTGCAGTTTCACCTGCCCACCTGCTCCCCGTGCAGAGAGGCTGGTAGGGTGCTTCTGTCATCCAGGCGAGGACAGGGATTAAAACTGAGGAGAGGGCCAGGGATTTAGCTCAGTGGTTCTGCTGCCTGCCTTGCAAGCACAAAGACCTGAGTTCGATCCCCGGTACACCCCCCCAAAAAACTGAGGAGAAACAGCCCCCCCCTCCACCCCCACCAAAGTCAGTGCCCCAGAGCCACAATCTGTCCTGACCCCACAGCCACAGCTGCTTCAGGTGGTGGCTAGGACTGTATATCCCAGGTGAGCACTCTGGGTTGGCCATGGCTACTGGTCTACAGGGCTGCAGAGGATGAAACCATGTTGAGGAACATCCCAGAGCAAGGCCGCTGGGTCCCAAGAATCAGGTTGTACAAGGCTGTGGAGGGAGGAACATGCTTCTCAGGACCCAGCCTGGATGACGCCCTTCCCATCCCATCCCATCAGTCAATCCCAAATCCAGGGCAGGGGACCTGATTTTACTTTTCCATGGGCAACACAGCCGGGAACTGTGGCCATCTTCAATGTTTCCAGTTTGGGGGAGAATTGATGCTGGAGGAGCCTCGTCCCTGCGAGCCAAGCTCCATCTTCATTTCTGGACTGGAAGACCTCAGCCCCCTAGACTTCCAGATTAGTGCCACACCCAGGCCATGTTCATGATCAAGCGCCAGAGACCCAGAGGACAGGGGACTTGGGCAGATTTGAAGGTGAGAAGCAGTCTCGGGCCAGAGGACAGTGAACAAAGAAGCCAACACACTTATCACCACCCAAAGCTCATGCAGGGGTCAGTGGAGCCTCCACATGCTCTTCAGTGGGGAGCAGATCACCTGGGCCTCTTCGTCCCATGGGGCCCAAGGAGTGCAAACAACTTTCTGCAGGGTCACTGTTAACACAGCCATGCTTATCCCAGGGTCCCCTAAACCACGGCAGGATGAGACAGAGGCCCTGGGACTGCCACCTGGACCCTGTGATATATGCCACAGAGAAATCCCACATGCAGCCCACTTCTCTTGCCCCTTGGGGCCATTTCAGCCTGGCTGCCACCTACATCAGCCTCTGGGATCCCAGCTGGGTGCAGAGACCTGGGCAACCAGAGACTGCCCTCAATGCCACCAGAGCCATAATTTCCTCTGCCTGCGGTTTCATTCTTTCCTCTTTTCTTTTTAAAGAAATGTTACAGTCAAATGAGTCCCCCACCCTAAGGAAGTGAAGACGGCGGGAGGGTGACTCCTGCAGCTCAGTTAGCAGGTTCCTTCCCTGTCCCTGCAACGGCTGGCACCCATCCCAGACAGGCTCAAGGTGGTGTCATAAGAGACGGCCCCATGGGTCCCAAGGGCTTTGGCCCTGTTGGGGCACAGTGTGGACACTGGGATTCAGGTGAAGAAGTCCTCTGCCAACTTCTTTAACTGTCAGTTTCCATGCAGTTGTAGGAAACAACATCGCAGATGAGATGCACCATAAGTGCATGAAGACACCCCTCACCCCAGGGAAAACAAGGAAATTGAGCTCATGGCATGAACACTCTGCCCACCTCGCTCCACCCCATTTCCTTACCCTGCGCACGTGTGTGTGTGTGTGTGTGTGTGTGTGTGTGTGTGTGTGCAGTGGTAGGCACGAGAAGCCACCATTCCCTACCCCCTACATGGACATTCCCGTGGAGTCGAGCAGGTGAGGTGGAGGTGCTGCAAGAGGGGAGCAGAGAGGACCCACCAAACAAGCGTTCATTCTGGACAATGCAACCTGGGCGCTGCAGACCTGCCCGGGACTCACCTCTGTGATGATGTAGAAGTCGTCCCCAGGCTCCCCCTGAACCACGATTTTCTCTCCGTCTTCAAACTGCACAGGCTCCAGGGCATCAGCCACAGTCAGCCGCTCCCACTTCTCCAGGGACTCTGTGGGAAAGAAGGAGTTAACCAGGCTCAACACTACTGGAAAATGCAATCAGCTCCCTGGCTGAGGGGTGCATCAGGCAGTGAAGGTGTAATACAGAAAGCAGTGAAGCCTTTGAGAGCTGGACCCCACCGCTTCTGAGCCAGTCTAGATGCTGCGTGGTTGGAGGGAGCCAGGAGACTCAGTGTGAAAACGCCTGTTGCTGATCACTAAGTAAACAAGAGGCACTGAAAACCGAGTCTAAGCTAACCTAGCATGAAAATACTTTTATTTATCTCTAGAAGAACAGAACTGCCTGTAATTTTGTAAACGATGGGTCACAGCTGCTCTTCAGCTACAGTGTGGTTTAGAATAACTCAGGGGGGTTGAAGCCAGTACCTATTCGGAAGCAGCTCTGTCCCATGAGGGCTGATGGGGACCAAGGCACTGCCAGGAAGACGGCATGAAAGGGGACAATTCCTTCTACTATTTCAGACCAAAATGCTTAATTCTGATGCTAAGTTTATCTTTAAGTGCCTACAAACCTCTGATCCACCCTTCTCACACTTCCTTTCCCTGCCATTTACCCTGATGGAGGGAGGAAAAAATAATCACGTGAGAGTTGCCTGAGAGAGTGATGATCTTCTGATAAACTTTTTTTTTTCTTTTGCAAAATAACTTTTTCTGGCCTATATTTAGATGCTACCTAAGTAGGTCAGCTGCTAAAAATTTTTAAAAGCATTTATTTTAGATCTAGGTTAGCAGGGGATTTCTCTCCCTACAACCTCCTGCCAATGCCACATATCTCAAAGGACGCTTCCCACTAACCGCAGGGTCAGGGCAATTCTACTACATGGTAACTGCAACGAAGTTGCTTCAACCATGGTCATGTGAGCAGCTTTTTAAATAAGTCTGTGCTGGACAGAAGCTGCTCAAGGTACCATGCTGATGGCATAGGCCTGTCATCCCAGCTACTTGGGAGGCAAAGGCGGGATTGCAAGTATGAGGCCAATCTGGGCAGCCAAGCAAGACCTTATCTCAAATTTTTAAGAAGCTGGGAGTGTAGCTCAGTGGAAGAATGCTTGCCTAGAATTGTGAGGCCCTGGGTTCCATCACTAGTACTGCAAAAAAAAAAGGAAAAGAGAATGCAATTGCTTTGTTATTTGCAGCCTGGGGATTTTGCACATAACACTCACAGGCCAGCACATCAACAGAATGAAGCCACTCAGAGCCGGGCATGGTGGCGCATGCCTGTAATCCCAGCACTCGGGAGGCTGAGACAGGAGGATTGCTGTGGGTTCGAGATCAGCCTGGGCTACATAGTGATTTTCAGGTCAGTCTCAACTACATAGTGAGACCCTGTCTCAAAAAACAAAAAAAAAAAAAAAAAAAAAAAAAAAAGAATGAAGCCACTCAGGAACAAAATTATATTTACGTTCAGAAAGAAAGGGTGCAAAAGTGGGCTGGCTTGTGAACATAGGGTACTTGGATTATCCATTTCTTCACGAGGGCCGTGATGAAATGTATCTGATTTTGGAAGTCAGTTTGTAGTTAGGAGGTTCGCCTCCACACATTTGGTTAGCTGATTTTGTTTCCTCATGACATTTGAAATCTGCACTATTCTAAGGTCTGAAAATTCAAGATCCAAAGCAGCTTTGTCGCTCAACAACATGAATCTTGGGTGGGAACTGGTAGAAGAAGCTGTAAGGGAGATGGTAACCTTTTGCCCCTAGTTTTTTCAATATCTCAGGCTCTGAGGCAATTCGTGAAACACAAAGCATTTAAAACAAAAAACAAAAAATGTTCAGCTTAGGATCCTGTGCCTTAGAATACAGGAGGCTAACAGTGAACTCTAGCAGAACACCATGACCTGGGCTGCACTGAATTCTGCCTTTACTGAACCTACCCCAACAGACCTGGATTCCAACACTGATGATGGAACCCAGGCAGGAAAATAGGCCAAGCACCCTGAAGGGCAGCACACGGACATTGGTGGCCCCGGTGTGAGCGTCAGGTGCAGGGACCCACAGTGTGGACTGGACATGGAACCCTGGGCTTGTACCTCCTGTGCCAGCAGTGTGGGGCCGAAAAGGATCATCAATTACTAGAAAAAAAAACAAAAAAAAAAAAAACAAAAAAAAACTCAGCTTGCATCTCAAAACTGAAGGAGCTGGAATGTGGGTGTAGTGGTGCACACCTTTAATTCCAGGTACTCAGGAAGCTGAGGCAGGAGAATGGTGAATTCCAGGCCAGCCTGGACAACTTAGCGAGAGCTCATCTTCAAACAAAAGGGCTAAGGAAGTAGCTCAGTTGTGCAGTGACTTTAAGTTTAATCCCCAGCCTTTAAAAAAATGTGACAAAGTTGAAGAGGCAGCACAAGAGACAGGCAAACACAATCCTAGGCCCCAGAGGATGATGTGCATGTGTGCATGCCTACGTGTGCATAGTGTGGTGTGTGTGTGTTCATCCATACAAGGGCATCACACCAGGAACACGCCACCCGCCAGCCACACAGGGAAAAAGGAAGGTGTCCCGGCTGGCAGTGGGTGCTCAGAGAAGGCTGGGAGGACCCAGGAATGCAAGGCGCCACTGACCGAGAATGGAGACCTTGCTGAGGAACTCCTCATACATCTTGCGTTTTCTCAGAGTACTGCCCTGTTTGGGAGAAAGGAAAAACAGAGAAGGTGGGTCTTCAGGCCTGAACTGTTCCATCATTTTCACATTTCTCATGAGTCTTCACAGGAGCCCCCGAAGCATCCCAAGCCCCAAGGGCCCCTCTGAGGGCCACACATTCCAGCACCGGCCCTCTTGCTCCTCCTGGGCTTCCAGGGAGCACCAGCCTCTGAGTGGACCCGACACTGCCCACCTCCTGGGGTCCACCCCAAGCAGGGCCACCCTGAGCAGGACACTAAGAAAAGGACAGTTTGAGATTTCCAAAGCCAGGAGGTCCCAGAAGATACAATGAGACCCACTCTGCTGCCTACCAGGCTCAGAGGAATCAGGCCTCCTGGCAATAGTCAGTACTATGAGATCCCACTTGTAGAAACAATTCTCCCTCCCACGCATAAGACCTTCTGACAGCCAGAACCCCAGAGAGCTCCAGGCCACAGTCACCAGCTAAACTGCTTCCTTGAGACCCACAGACACTGACAAGTGGTGGTGCATTCTGTAATCTCTGCACTTGGGAGGCTGAGACAAAAGTTTGAGGCCAGCCTGGACTACACAGTGAATTCAAAACCAGCTTGGAATACGTAGCGAGATCCTGTTAACTAATCCTAATAGGGGATGTGACAAGCCTAGGAGGCTTGTGGTCAGGATGGCAGAACACCCCCGTTATCTCACGTCCCACTGCCACAGTGAAGGAAGATGACATGAGGTCTCTATGGCTCCCACCCTGATTCCCTCTGCAACAACCAGACCCTCCTAGGCAAGGCTGAGCCCAGAATCCTCTCGCTAGTGGGCAAGGAAAGGTTAGGGTGAGGGACACAGAGGCCCCAAACCTCTTGTCCTGAGAGGACTGCCCAACAAAGCATCTGCCAGACAAAGCCATTGCCTCAGCTGAGAGATCAGAAATCTGCGTGGCCTGATGGATGCTCAGCTCTGTGTTCACGATCACAACTCTTGGAGGCCCCAAGGCAGGGAGGCTTCCACTGCGTGTACTCAAGGCCACCTGCTGGAAGAACAGCTCAAGTCCCAAGAGAAGCAGCAGCAGCTTCCACAGGGTCAGACCAGGGCTTTCCAGAGCTGCCTGTGAGAGTCACGTCACCACCTGAGTCCCCTCAAGGTCCAGAAGCACAGACTCCTGGGCTGAGAGCCGTGCTCCCCGCTCACAGATGGAAGATGGAGCCCATGAACGTGCCACTCAGGGATGAGAGTTCCAAGGGTGCCCTGTCCTCCTGTCCCTCCCAGGGACTTGGCAGAGGACACTGGGACCACTATCTGAGGAAAAGCAAAGGGCACTGCACCCCCGGGGACAAGGGCAGGTTTGGATGTGCCACGGTGTCACTGATCCTTGGTGAGATAAGAAAAAAAACTCCCCACCTCACTGTCATTGTAAGGATCAAGGCTCCACAAACGTTCCTTATGGTGAGGTGGTGGTGAGGATGGTGGTGGTGAAGGTGATGATGGTGATGGTGATGGTAGTAATGATAACGGTGGGGTGATGACGGTGCTGGTGACGGGGATGGTGGCCCTCTCTCAGTACCATGGAGGAGGACCGATGGAGAAGGTCAGCGTATTTCATTTCCAACCCAAGTCTGCCCATAACATCCCATCTTAGGCCAGTCTTGTCTCCTCTGGGCCTAAAAGGTTCCTCGTCTCCTTCCTGTTGAGACACTGAGGGACTCGAGCTCCACGTGATTTCCCTATGGTCAGAAATGGGGTCGGGGACCTCTGCAGACGGGCACTGACCATGTGCCCCTCACGCTCCCAAGAACCCTATCCCCCCAAAGGTGATGAGAAAAAGCACAGCTTAGATCGTGCCTCCCAGCCATCACCTTTCCTGTGCCCCACTGCAGCATCTCCACTCTGTGGGAAAAGTGAGATACACCTGGGCCCATGGTTGCTCCTGTCCTGGGCCGCCAAGGACTGGGCCAGGCCTCGAAACAGGATGGTCCTGTCCCAGCATGGTGATTACACATCCGGCTACATCTCCATGGCCACGTGCAGCACCTTTATCCCTCTGGAGGACAGAAGGGGCATCCACGCAGCCCCACGGTGTGCAGCACGTTGCACCTTGTACCACCAGATCCTGCGGAAACTTCTCAAGCTCTTCCACTTGCAGCCTGCCCTGCAGCCCAGAAGAACTTGGGACCTCGCCCCAGGGCAGTGGAATGGCTCCCCTCCCAGACTGTCTGACCTCATGTGTGACACAGGGACTTGCCAAGCCCAGCCCAAAGGTCCAGTGACATCAAAGCTGCAAATGTCAAATGCACACAAGGGTGCACACCTCCCGCCCCAACAGCTACATCCCTGTCACTCACACACATCCATATGAACATCCCTGGTCTTGGGTGCCAAGGCTGGCAGGCAGGGTCCCAGGTCTCAGGCTGCCCTGGACAGGGGCCTCTGAAGACCTCAGTGCAGTATCTACTTAGTCTGCATTCTCCCTAACTCCAAACATGGGCCCAGGTAAGGGTCAGGTAAACCGGGGGTCCAAAGGTTAAGAAAGAAAAAGAAGCTGGGCATCGCCTGTAACCCCGGCACTCTGTGAGGCTGAGACAGGAGGATCACAAGTTGGAGCCCAGCCTGGGCAATTCAGTAACTTAGTGAGACCCTGTCTCAAAATAACCACAAAAAATGGCTGGGATGTAGCTCAGTGCCAAGGCCCTGGGTTCAATTCCCAGTACGGAGAAGAGGAGAAAGGAAGAAAGAAAAGTGAAGATGAAGGGATGGAGGAAGGAAGAAAGGAAGGAAGGAAAAGGAGACAGAAAGGTAACTTTTGAAGAGTACTGGGGCCCTGCTGGCCTCTGCATGGGCATCTGGGTAGGGCCAAGCCCAGGCTTGCCCAGCCTTGGACTCTGTTCTTCCCTCAATAAAACATGAACAGGGCAGGGAAGTGACAGACATTTAGGAAGCTTCCAGATCAGACATGGGATTCCTACAGCCGGAATATGGGGTCAGAGCTGACATTCTTGGACGAGGCTGCTTGGACTGTTCATTGTCCCTCTCATCTCCTGTGTCACCCACCTCTTGTCCAGCTTCGTGCTAAGTGGTCGCAGGGTGGGGTCACACAATGTGTGATGACCACATCAAAATCTGCCCAGCTGGGGACGGATACAAACACAGATGTGACCGACCCTCAAGGCGCTCCCGCCACCGGAATCCACCGGCACTGTCATTTTCTTTTCAGTCACAGGGTCCCAGTGGACTTCCAAGCCAGCCGGGGCTATTCTTAGAGCACAAGGATCCGGAATTAGCACAGAGGAAGCACCGGCTCCCAGCATGGTTTAAGAACTTCCTTGAATAGAAGGTTCCAGCCGCAAAGATCCCACAGCCGGGATGACACAGAGCAGATGGGAGCAGAGACCGTGGCTTATGCAACCCCTGGCCAGGTGCACCCAGAGGGCACAGGAACTGAGTGTCCTCTTGCAAGGGGTGGGCAGATGTTCAATGGACAGGGGATCCTGTCCCGAAAGCCGTGTAGATCTGCTCCAAGGTCTGGCAAAGAACTTGTGGAACTTGGGGCTGATGAAACAGCTGCCCTGACTCTGCTAGCTCTGCTGGCAATGAAACGAAGCCAGTCACTGGAGTGGTACCAGGCCAGCAATACTCCAGCAACTCCAGCCCCAGGGCCTTTGCACTCACTGTGCTGTGGCCAACACTCCTGACAGCCTTTGCTCCAGCTTCTTGGCCTAAGGCCTCTGTACCAATGTCACCTAGGAGAGAAGTCTCTTGGCCTCCATATGAGACAGCCTCCCCTCCTCAGTTCTGGATCACCCCCATATCCTATCCTAGGTGTGTATGTGTTCAGACTGTCTCCTCCTCTGGGAGGCCAGCCCTGTGTGCAACCAGCCCCAGAACAGTCCCTGGAAGACAGCAAGTGTGAGGAGAGGGTGGAGTGACCTCCTCCCCCAGTAAGGGTCTTTTCTTTCAGGAGCCACTTACACACACGTACATGGCCCCAACCACCTCATAGTGGGCTGCACACACACACACATATGTACACATATGCACGCAGGCACACACACACACACACACACACACACACACAAAACTGTATGTATCTCTGAGAGATCTGGATGCACATAAGAACAAATCTAAAATGTTAGTGGCTTAACAACCCCAGTGATCCCCAAGTGAAGGACATCTGGGATCGAGCAGTCCAGCCCAGCATAAGGGTCCCACCAGCTCAGCAGGGAGTCCTTCCTCACACTAGGAGGGTTTCATTGTCAAAGTCACCTCATAGCCCAAGATGGCAGCTGGAGCTCCAGTCCTTAAAAATATGTTCTAGACAGGCAGAAAAGAAAGGGGATGAAGGCAAGAGACTCCCCTAGCCACCTCCCTATTTTCTAAGAAGCTTTCCAGAACCACCTCTCCCCTTCTGATCATCTCATAGGGTTTATCTGCCAAGAACCCAGCTGGGAGATGTCCCTTCTCCCCTGTAGGATGCTTGTCCAAAGACTGGTGTCAGATGTAGCCCATGCCCCCACCCACACCCCCACCTGGTGGAGCCTCCTCGGCCAGGGCACTGCTCACCATCAGGATGCGCCGGTAGCTGTCACGGTCGATGCCCCAGAGCTTGAGGTCGGTCTTGGCCTTCACGGTGGCAGCCCTGGGTGTGCCATAGATGAGCGCCAGCTCCCCGAAGCTGCCCCCCTCGCTGATGCTGGTCACCCACTCTCCATTCACGTACACCTGTAGGAGACACCGGAGAGAGACATCAGGGCACCACCTCAGGCTGGCTGCTCCTTCCCAGACACCCTTGGGAGGGCATAGCAGTGGCCGCAGTCCTGCTCCACAGGGCAACCACACAGCATCTCGGGACCTGCTCAGCCCAAGAGGACAGGTCTGGAGCGGAGATGGGCTTCCCTCCTCCCAGGGTACAGGTACAGGATTCGATTCCCTGGCAACTCTCTGGGCCTCAGTTTCCCCAGCTGCATACCAGTGAGTCGGGGCCTCCACTGCATGTGCTGCCTATAGGAGGACACTCAGCCCTTGCCTTTCCCACTCATGAGCTGCCCCATCCTCCCCTGCCACTGCCCGGGCCTCTGTCCCCTCCCCATCTCTGCAGCTCAAAGGTAGGCACACACAGCTGAGGGCTGAGGTGAGCCCCTGCCCCAGGCCTTTCCTCCCTGGCAGTGCCCAGGCCCCTCAAGGCAGCCTGAATGGAGCCATTGGCACCGCAGTAGGCAAGCCTGGCAGAGAGCAGCCGGGACAAGATTCCCTTTCAGCCACACAGCACCGCGCCCCGCACGGCATGCCTGTGCCCGGCCCGTGCGTGGCCCACACCCAGGCGAGAATGGTTCGAATTGTTCATTATGCAGTGATTATGCAGATTTGCTTACTATAAATTGACACAATGCCCTCTTTATCCCCGAAGCGGTCAATGAGCGCACAGATCAGTTCCCATTGGCAAAATGGGTGCGCAGGGGAAGAATGGATTGTGATGAATCATGGAAGCAATTCTTACTGAAATCAATGACTCATTATCTGACAATAACTGAGGCACAGAATTTCTCATCTGAAAGAAAACGCCTGCAGGTGACGGGTAAGTCCAGAACCACAGATGAGCAAGGCTGGGACCACAGCAGGTTGAAAGCAGAGTCCCACCTGGCACAGTTTGGAGTCCCCCTTTCTGGGCCCAGCAGGGTCTCCCAGGGCCCTGGCCACACAGGATGGGGATGAGGGTGTGGCTGTTCCTCCACAGACCTCCAGGAACCTAGGATAGCAGCCCCCAGTGCCCCAGGAAGCATGCCCAGCCAGGGAGGAGGGACACATGGAGGGAAGGTCAGCAATCCCCACGTTTTAGGGGCAACTTAAAGGGATCCCCCAGGACCTCCACCTCTCTTAATTCCCAAAGGGGACCTGATGCCTAGAGTGGGGACAGCCCAGCCTCAGTGTGGGAGCTGGCACTCTGCTTTGCCTACATATCTGAGGGCACAACCTGAGTTCAAGTTTAATGATTTCTCACACTGCCCAGAAATGCTGGCCCCTCCTAGATACCTGTTTCCAGGGTCCTGAGTCCCTCAGTACAGGTTTTGTGCTTCAGTCTTGGGGTAACTTGTCTGGAGTGGCATCTGCCCACTACCCACCAGTGGGGCTGCAGCAGGGGGTTCAATGCACAGCCCCTCAGTACCCAGCACACCTGGTCCCACCTGAGTGGAAAGCAACGAGGGCGTGGACCTGCTCTGCCTGCAGGGTCTGCTCCACAGAGTGAGGCAGCAGCTTCTGGGGAACAAGGGAGGCCCCTGCAGGGGTGACCCTGGGCAGGAGCAGGACACTCAGTTACCTACCAGATACAGGGTCCCCAGGAACAGAAGGACATGTTCTGGCCCAGCCCCATGCCAGCTGTGCCCCCAACTTTCCTGGGTCATCTCCAAAGACAGAGTAGGGTGACGGCCAAGGGGCACAGACCCTCTGCCCACAAGGACCCCTGCCCTGCTGAGAAGCCCCATCTTTCTAGCACTCCCCTGGGCATCAGAAAAAAACCATTGTGTGGACAGACCCAGGGCCACCCCCGAGGACAAAGGGGCCATCCTTCTCAGGACACTGGCCTCTGTCATGGCTCCCTCCCAGGGCACAGAGTGGGCCCCACCCAGCTGGCACGCAAAGGGGCTGCTCTTGTCTTGTTTCATTTTTGTTTTTTCTTCTTTTAAAAGAAAAATGGGGGGAGGTCCCAGCGAGCGGCACTGTGTCCCTCGAGGCCACTCTGTGCTCCCTCCTTCCTCCCCATCCCTTCCTTCCTCCTTTCCCTCACCCTCCACCACTCTGCAGTAGGCAACAGACTCCCAGCCATGGGGACTTTCTGACTAGTGGGGTCGCAGGCCAGAGCCAATCAGCCCCCAGATTAGGTCACCCTGGGCCCCAAAAAGACCTGGCACTGGGAGACCCAGGCATTTCAAGTCACCCAACTCCATCCTGTGCAAAAGCTACGTAGACAGAAAGCTGTGGGTACATGGGGGCGAGAGCAGCCACCCAGAATCCCACTCAACCAGGGTACAGGGATGACGTGTGTGGACTCAAGGTCCAGCTAGGGTGGCATGGCCGGCATTAGTGGTCCCTATCCTGCTGCCTCCCAGCCCCAAGGGGCAGAACAAGGCACCTGTGTCCAGGTGACTCAGCTTCCCCACCCCCCAGGCCCAGGCTGCTCCAATCCTCCTTAGCCCTCAATACCAGGGCTCTGGGTTCACATGACTTTACGGGTGGCACAGACCCCTTCCTGGCGGCCCTGGATGGCTAGCAATGGTCCTCCAAGGAGGAACCTTGAATCCACCCCAGACCTCCAACCCTCCACTGAGACCCCAAGACCCCACATCCAGAGTCAGCAGCTGACTTCCTGACACACCAACCTCGAGCCCACCTTAAACTCGGCTGCTCCTCCTCACATGAACACCACCACATGTGGGGTGGCCCAGGACTCTCCCACTTCAGGCAGAGTGGCCACCAGGCTGTGCCCACAGTCTGTCACCTCAGGTTGGGCTGCCCAGAACTTCAGTGAGGACAAGACTGGGCCAGATGAGCACAACTGGGGCCTCCAAGATCCACAGAAACCTCCACAGCCGTCCCCAGGCCACAGCCACACAGTGCTCAGTAAACAACTAATTAACATACGCCCCCCAGGGCAGGGTGCCCACGCTCCACACAGCCACCACAGAGTCCACTGACAGATGGCAGGTAAACACTACGTGTCTATGCAAACACGGGAATACTACACAGCCTCAAAAAAGGAGAGGCTGATGCGCTGCCGCATGGATGGACCTCAGGAATGCGACACTGTGAAATAAACCAGACATAAAAGGATAGACACAGTATGACTTCACATCTATAAGGTCCCCAGAGGAGCCAGATATGTAGGGACAGAAAGCAGGACGGTGATGCCCGGAGCTGGGAAGGGGACAGAGCTTTCATTTAGAAAGATGAGAGGTGGATGGTGGTGACATCTGTGAATGTGCTTAATGTCACTGTGCTTTGTACCTAATGGCAACTTTTAATTTATGTATATTTTACCAATTTGAGCATATGAACACACGAAATGCTTGGTAAACCCTGAGTGACAACCAGCCAGGACCAGGGACCAGACTGCTATACCCAGGGGTGCCCAGCAGAGACAATGTAAACCCAGGAAGGTGACAGGAAGGAGCCCTGAAATTACAAAGGCTGGAGAACAACGAAGGGTGGGACTGGGCCTCAGAGGGCTAGAAATGGAACTGCACTCCTGAGCACAGCTGAGTGTCCTTTTAAGCAGAAATGCTATGTTCCAGGAATAAAATAAATTGGGAGATATTTTTATACTTAGAAAAATGGATTATAGCTCTTGGCAACATGCATACAGCAAGCAGGCATTTTTGGAGTCTCTCTGGAAAACCATAATTTTAACCAAGCCAGTGTGCTGGTATTTGGTCACCTGGTCCCCAGGGGCCACTAAGGAGAGGGCACCATGAGCCTTGCCCCCCATCTCAAGGGTCCTGGGGACTGCCCTCTGTGGGGAGATGCCCATGATGGTCCCATGCCTGCCCAACCCTACAGAACCAGCATCTTTGGAGCCTTGAAGAGCATCCTGCGCCCTGTGGCTGTCCACTCTGAACCAAGAGGGTGTTCACAGAAGCAATCAACCCATAGCAGCACTCAGGGCAGTGGGGTCAGACTGCGCCCGGGCAGCTCCAGGCTGTGGCAGCTCAGGGCACAGTAACCACGCTAAGTATCCTTTCACACACCCTAGATTGCCGCCTGAGGCCAGTCTGTCCCGGTCGTTACAGGGCTCCTTTAACTCCTTTAGATGTGGCTTTGGGCACCGGCTCTGATGTGTACCCTGCACACAATCAGCCCCCACGTCACAGCAGCACCCCCTCGGTGCCTGCGCCAGCCCCACCCCCACCAGAAAATCTGAAGAGACCAGCAGAGGTGCCTGGTGCTCACACGCAGCCATGGCAGCCAGGAAGCTGGCCATCCCCATTCGTAGACTGCTCTGTAGGTCACAGCCTGGTGCCATGGAGGCCTGGATGGTCCAGACTCAGGGCTGTACCAGGAAGCGGCATCAGTCACGGTGCCCAGATGTCCCGGCTCTGCCATGAAGGATCCAGAGAGCACCGGGGGTGGTGGGGGCAGGATCTACAAGACAATGTGTCTGGGGAGCTCCAGTTATGTGAAGGTGATCTCACTTTTTCCTTCACACAATTGCCTCCACATGTCCTTGAGTTTGGTCAGACGCCAGAGACAACACAACGTATCTCCACCCAGGAGTGGGGACAGGGCACTGGCCAAAAGACCAACTCGTGCTTCAGCCTGGATGCCGGGACAGGTGAGAGCTCGTGCCAGGATGATTCTGGATCTGGTTTTTGTTTTGGGTTGTTTTTGGGGGGACCAGGGCTCCCATATGCTAGGCAAGCACTGACCACTGAGCCACATCTCTATGCCTTTAAAGTTTTATCTTGACACAGGGTCTCCCTAACTTGCCAAGGCTAGCCTCAAGCTTACAGGCCTCCTGCATCAGCCTCCTCAGTAGCTGGGATCCCAGGAGTGGAAGAACATACTCATCTGAGCTTTGTGTTCCAGGAAACTCAGACCCTAACTTGAAGGGGCCTGGATAAAGGCAGAGGCTGGCAGGTTCCTGTCCACCTCACACTCGGTCTTTGAGGAAGTTGTGGACACTGTGCGAGGCAGGTGACATGGCATTTCACTGTCCACAGTGAGACAGGGAAGAAGTGGGTGGCTTGGGAGAGGACCTCAGAAGGGAGGCAGACAGTGCAGGCTGGAAGGCGGGGCACATTGGGAACACCTGGACACCCCTGGCCTACCTGGGGGTCTCCTGCAGCTGCTTGGCCCCAGAGATTGGGGGAAACTGCCCATGGGCAGTTACAGCCAGTGAGCCACAGGCAACAAGCCACTAAGATGCTATGTCCACACCTCCCAAGGGCACCTTCGGAGTAAGAAGGCCACTGGCACAGGTGTGGGACCAGCCAGGTAGTGCAGGAAGAAGTCAGAGCATTGACCAGAACAGCAGCACAGGGCAGAGCTGTGGTGGCACCATGGGAGCAGCCTGTCTGACTTTTTTTTTTTTTGGTACCAGGGATTAATCTCAGGCCTTTGCACTTGCAAGGCAGGCGGTGGAACTACTGAGCCATATCTGCGGCCCCTGCCTCTCTGACCTTTGAGGGACAGTGAGCCGTGAACCTTTCTGAGCACACAGAAAACAAGGCCTGGAAACAACCCTGGCAAAACAGCCTAACCCCGCTGGGCCCTTTGGGCTCCGTGAAAGCAACCCTGGAGAATCATCTGCCATCCCCACGCCTGCCTTTTAAGACTAGCAAAAGTTGAGAGAATCAAAATTCCCTGTGTCAGCTCAACCTCTCCATTCTACTCCAGGTTGAAGAGGCCCTTAGGATGGAATTGGGAGATTCCTACTACTTTAGGGAATGCAAGGAGAGGGAGAGGAAAAGTGAAAGCCAAGTCCAGGACCCACCAGGGGCTCCCAGGCTAGTGAGGGACAGTCTAGTCTCCCATCGTCTGCTGGGGTCAGCATTTATCAAAGCCCCGAAGCAGAGGACCCAGCCTGATGGGTCTTTAAGAGTGAAAAGGAGGGCAGAGAAGGAATAAGAGCAGACGGCACAGGAAAGCCAATGTTCTGAGGTGTGAGACACCATTTACTAATTTCCTGTTGATCTTCAATGTGAACCTACAAAACCCCTCACCCTCACATCCCAGGGCAGTCTCAGGGCCAGCAAGTGCAAGAGACATGGCTGGGGGGCAACTAGTGATGGTCTGGGGGGGTAGGGGGCTGAGAATAGCATGGAATTAATGCATGGGAGGAAACTACACATCAAGCTAGGAATAAGCCATCCTTACCTGCCACCATCTCTGCCCTGGGCATACCTCACACAGGCACCTGAGGATGGGACCTGGGAACCTGTGCTTTCCCGCTCTGCCCTCCCCATTCGAGGCCTGAGCATGGACAGGACCCATGTCCTATGCCAGGCCAAGGTTAAGGCCCTGGGGCTGCACCCTCCTGTCCTAGGTTTAGACCTAAAGTGAAGGGACAGGCAGTGACCATGGCCACAGCTGAGCCCAGTCAGAGCTTCCTATCCTCCCTCTTCTTCACAGTTCCCCCAAGAAGGGGCAGAGCCTTAGCTCCTACATTAGTTTCCTTCTTTAGAAGGACAGGATGCCCCCACTGACACAAAGGTTTGCCTCAGGCCAGTCCAGGGGCTGTGCTGACAGATCCAGTGCAGGACAGGGCAACAAGCCTCATGACAAAGAGAAGCCTGGGGACTCAGTGTGCTTCACCTGGACTTCTTGTGAGTCACTTCCTGTGCCCCAGCTCTGGGAGTTGGGGGCCTGGCAGTTCCCAGAAACACTCAGAGTGGATGCGCCGACAAGCTTCCAGGGAGGCTGGTGAGTAAATGCCCTTCCCAGAATAGCTAGGACTGGACAGAGGCAGAGGCCAAGCCCCAAAATAGCTCCCTAGCTTGGGCAATGGACATGGTATGGCCTGATGCCTAGAAGCCACCGGGAGCAGGGTGACCTGGGGCAATGGCAGCACCACCCGTGGGGAAGGGAAGGGTATGGCTGAGCCATTCCCAGCCCAGAGGGGACCCAGGGCCAGCTTGGGAAGGGCCGGATCTGGGGCTTCAGAGACCCCAAATGTCCAGTCATGAGACTTGGTCTCTGGAGACAGACCTTAAAAAAACGCCCAAGAAGCCTGGCATAGTGGTGCACACCTATGATCCCAGCACATTGGAAGGCTGAGGCAGGAGGATTGCAAGTTCAAGCCCAGCTTGGGCAACTTAGTGACTTAGTGAGACCCTATCTCAAAATAAAAAATAAAGGCAAAAGCCCTGAGTTCAATCCCCAGTAATACCAAAGAAGAAAACAAAAAGCTCATAGGAAAAACTGCAAAATCACCAACTGAGATAGGAAGGAGGAGGCCACAGAGATGTTGGTGCATCTGCAGATGAGATCCCAGGCTGAGGAAATGACACCTTGGAGAGCATCAAAGGGTAAAGCAGGTGCTCACAGTGATGCTATAGGGAAGGGTAGTCCCCAACCAGGGACAGCACCTGTCAAGGCCCTGTAACAGCATAATGAAGGGTTCCAGGAGGAGCATCAAGGGCTTTGGATCATGCTGGGGACCCAGCTGGAGGACTCTGGCAAGAGCCAGGTCCTTGGCTTCAGGTGGGCAGGGAAAGGCACCCAAGGAGGAGATCCTACCACGTTTCAAGCCAGGAAACCTAGGGCTCAGGTTATGGCAGCCCAGGAGGCAGAAGGAGGCAGGTGGGTAGGGAAGACCTAGCTGAGTATCCAAGGTGAGGCCTCTGAGAAGTGGACACATCTAACAGAATAGTCAAGGCAGCTCCATAAAAGTATGGGCCTATAGGCATGATGGCACACATCTGTATTTCCAGTCATCCAGGAGGCTGAGGCAGGAGGATCAAAAGTTCCAGCGCAGCCTGGGCACCACAGCAATATAGAGAGAACCCTGTCTCAAAGTAAAAAATTAAAAATAAAGGGCTGGGGGAATAGCTCAGTGTGAAGACCCTGGGTTCAATCCTCAGGATTGCAAAAAAAAAAAAAAAAAGCAGGGGCCTCCACTGCTGGCCAGTGAGAGTTGGAAAATGGTGACCCTGAAGCTCACCGTATAGCGTGGACATTTGAGACAAGGCAGCATGGGGCACAGAGGACCCAACTCCAGGCAGTACCTCTAGGGTCTACACATGCACAGCTCCCAGCTCACTGTAAGAAATGCTGATGTCCACTGGAAAACTGGCGCCAGCAAGGGCCACCGATCTGGATAGAGTCAGACCCTCCCAACTGTCTGAGGGAGACAAAGGCTGAGGCTGCAACCCGCACCTGGCCAACAGCTCTCCCACCACCTGTGTGTTTGGTATTTTCTTACCAAGACCGTTTAAAAGAAATGTATCATTTTTCATTTAATAGGGTGGGGTGTTGCTTTGTGGTAGAGCAATTGCCTGGTGTGCTCAAGGCCCTGAGTTCTTCCCCCAGCACTGCAAATAAATAAATGAACTTGAGGAATATGTCAGCCAGAAAGAAATGCCTTCCAACTCAGGTCTGCAGTGACCTGGTCTTCACAATGGATAAAGAGGGAGGTGCTAATTTCCAAAACCAGTAGTCTATACTCACATCCACTTCTCCTTGGTCAATTACGTAGAAATTATCTCCTTCATTCCCTGCAAAAGAAGACAGGAGATATGAGATAAAACTGCCTGTTGGACACAGGGGTTACCGTGTTTTGTTATGTTTTTCTTCCAAAGAACATTTGCAACATTGTCTACATTATAGCCGGTTGCCAAGAAATTCCCAGGACCTGTGTGTGTGTGTGTGTGTGTGTGTGTGTGTGTGTGTGTGTGTGTGTGTGTGTGTGTGTGTGTGTGTGTGTGTGTGTGTGTGTGTGTGTGTGTGTGTGTGTACAAAAAAATCCTCGTGCCTCAACCTCCTGCTACGATTTACAAGCATGCACTACTATGCCTAGATTCATTTTTTCTAATGACAAGATTATGGAAATATATTAGGTTAACTTCAGTTTTTTTTTGTTTCCTGAATTTTGTTAGTGAATTTTCTGGAGGACTACAGTGTGTCTTAAACTAAAATCTAAAGCACAGGATCCATTTCCCCCAGGGCTGTGTCAGAGACAGCAGAACTTACCTTGCTGTATGACAGTCTCCCCGGCAATGTGAGTGACAGGGAACATGGCATCAAATATGTCACTGAAAAGCAAAGTGTACCAGATTAGGGACTACAGGTAGCACCTGTTAAGACCTCCTGCCATCCACTCACCACCCATGTCCTATTGAAATCTATTCACATAAATGAGGGGAAATGAGAAAATTACATAAAAGAGGAATATTAAATCCCTTTCTAACCTCCTGTCCAGGTTCCCACTGTGAGCTCTATCTCTGCACAGATACAATTTTCTCCTGACTTTTTATGAAAATGGGATCACACTAGACACACTGTTTTGGATTCCAGTTAGAAGAGTCACTACAGAGTGTGAACATTTCCGCTGTCAGTAGATATAATTCCACTAGAGACGGCCACCAAGCCTGATAGAGTGGTTTTTGCATTGATTTTTTTTTCTTTCAGAGAAAACATTTCTAGTCCAAGAGCATCCTGGCTCTTGATGCAGAAATGAGAGGCGAGCTCAGTGGCTCTGCAGAGGAAGTCGATGCTCTGGAACACACAGACTTTACGAGCCACTGAGGCTAACTGGGCAGCCTGACCATCTAATTTCCTAGATGTAGATGTGAAATGGGCCATGCAAACGATGCCCAGGGAAGCCAGGAGGACCCAGAGTAGGCCGGAGCCAGCAGAAGTGCTTTGAAAATGGAGAGTGCCCCGTCCCCATCCCCCATTCCACCAGAAGATGGGCAGGCAGACACATTGGTGCCATTCCCTGAAAACCAGTGACCACCTTCGGAGAACACCCCTTGGCCCTTGAGTCCCCAGAGGAGAAGCTGCAGAGCCAGGATGCAAAGGACAGTGTACCAGAGACCCAGGCAGGATAGGCAAGGCTCAGTGAAGCCACAGGGGCAGCCCCTCCTGCCCTGCCTTGACCAAGGCTTGGGGACCACGGGACTGGTAAATTGAGGTGAGCCTTGAAAGCTCATGGGGTTCCCCTACTGCCGAATGTGCAAGGCCACCAGTCAGGCAAACACAAAATAAAAGATCCAGATGGCACTGACTTCCAGAAAAATATCTCATTCTTAAAATAGTGGCTGTTTTCTCTCTAGTCAAGAAATGCTTCTGAGTTCTAGTCCCTGGTGTGTCCTTTGTATCTTCTTTTGTCTGATTATATATGTGCTTATACTTTCTATAGTCTTTAGTTAATTTATGTATCTATGTATTTTCAAAAAGCTGCAGCTGCTCACTGAGGAAATGCCACAACTCTCCTTTAAGGCAGACTTGAAGCTCTTAACATTTTTGAAGCATCCAAAAAAGGCAAAATCTGGACTTGAAAATGTTATAACGTGCCTATCTGAGTGTGGTACAGACTCCAAGCCCAGTGGATGCATCCAGGATGGAAACCAACAACTTATTCACAGCCAAATACACTTTCAAACTAGTCCAACATGCCAAATACACCTCCAACAATTACATATGCTAAGCCACATTGCCTATCTCCTCAAAATTGCTAGAAGTGAGCAGTTTGGCAAAGCAATTCGATCTGTGAGAGATGAATATGCTCCATTACACAGAATAGGCCAGCCTCCCCCAGAGGGCCTGGCCACATGGCTCACAAGGTGATCAACTCCTGTCTTCTCACAGATGCCCACTTCCTTTTTCCCTAACAGATGGGGCTCCTGGCCCCAAGAAGCACAGGTCCCACAGGAATTTTGCCTGAGGATGTTCCCACAACCCCTCCCTACCTGCTCCACGCTTCACAGACCTTCCCTCAATCTTCATACAGGCCCAGGATGTCAGGAGTATGACATCTCCGTAGGGGTAGCACAATGGCAGCAACCAAGCCAGTAGAATCCGAACACAAGCCCACGGGCCCATGGGGAAGAGGTATGACACTCCCAGCAGCCTGGGATGGGGCTAGGAACTCGAGAAGGGGCGCTGCTCCTGATAATTGCAGCCTCTGTGCCCAGTGAGGGCAGAAGGACATGAGCTCAGGGCTTTGAGAGCCATGGAAAGAAAGGCCCAGGCTGCTCTCTGTGAAACTTCTCTCCACAGACAAAACACCCAACAGTACACACCAAACTGAGTCCTTGTTCTTCATGGCCAGCTCAAAACTATGGGGCACCACTGGTCAGGCCTTTGGAAGGTCTGTTGGCAAAGCCAGGTCTCCAGAAGTAGGTCTCCACTCAAAAGGCAGCTGCCCATCTGAGTCCACCTGGGCCTGGTGCCCACCACTTAAGGCCCCATAACACTCACTTACTCAACTTCACGAGGCCCACCTCTGTTTCCACCTTACATACAGGCAAACTGAAGCTTGAAAAGCTCTGGGGGGTAACTGAAGCCAGGCAACAGGCTCTGTTGAGGGGTCTCCCTCTCCACCCCCAGACAGGGCATTCAGACCACTGTGGATAGGGTACCCAGAGTGAAGGCAGAAGGAGGCAGAGTCTGGCCAAGGGACCTCACTGCAGATCACCCTTCTGCACACTGGGCCATTCAGCACTCCATGGGGTACATACTATGTCTCCACTATTCCCAACAGAGCTACAGACTGTGCATCTGGTCATGCCCACACTTGTGGGGTGCCCTTTCCAGCGAAGAGGTAAGTCCTCGGCTCACAGTGCTTCACTGACTATTCTTGTTTTACTTATACATTTATTCACCTACTCCTCCCTTGACTTTTCACAGGTGACTGTATTAGGATCTTTGTAGTAGCTCCTTTTGTTTGTATGTTTTCTTTTAAAATCTTGGACTGCGAGCTAAATTCATGAGCTAAAGCCTTTGTCACCAGCAGATGAGCTTTTGGGGAAGTGATGATGAAGGTTCTAACTTCACCAAGGGGATTCAATCCATGGATGAGATCAAAGCGCCATTACTGGGAGGTGATGGGAACTGAAGACATGGCGTCTGACAGAAGGCAATGGATCATGGGGATGCAACATGGGACCTCTGTCTGCTCCCAGCCCCTTCTCTCGGGCTCTTGCTCTCTCCTTCCTGGCTACACAAGGTGAGCAGCCTCTGCCGCATGCTTCCACCATCACATTTCAGCAAAGGATCTAGCTGACCATGGACTGAAACCTCTGAAGTCATGAGCTCAAATAAAACTTCTTTTAATTTGTTTTTCTCAGGTGCCAGCACAGAGACCTGGGCTGCAGCTGAGAGCTCTATTCTGTTCTCATCTCATGTCCCTTATCTCCAAGCGCTAGGCTTCTCTGCAAGGGCCTGTCCACTGCTCCTCTCCTGCCAGTTTCCTGTTTGCATCCTTTGACGCCCTCAAAAGCTGGCTGGTATCATTTTTCCTGCTGAGTTACAGGAATTCCTTGTCAGTTTTACATTTTCCAAATATTTCCTACAATTGGTCTCCTGGTCACATTCCCACAACGCCCTTTGCTAAGCAGATATCTTTCATTCTGGGCAGTATCTTTCCCAATTTAGGGTCTGTGCCTTGTGGGTTCAGCAGGAACCTATTTCCTCACCACAAAGTCACCCAAAACTAATCAGCCTAGGCCGCTATGACCAAGCACCAGAGACCAGGCAGCTTAAACCACACTTATTTCTCATGGTCCCGGAGACCAGAGGAGCAAGAGGAAGGTCAGCAGGTTTGGCTCCATGAGGGCCACTTCCCAGCTGGTGGTGACCCCACCTAGCTGTGTCCATAGCAGGAGCTTGGTCCTGGCATGCCCTTATAAGGGCACTAGCCCTGTCATAGGATCCCCACTCTCACGTCCTCCCAAAGGCCTCATGTGCAAATACTGTCACAGAGGCAGTCAGTGATTCAGAATTTGGATATGAGGGGACCACAACCCAGTCTACAGCAATTGCATTCAGCCAAATGCATCATTTTTATGTCTACTTCTGAGTCTTCAGTCAACTCCACGGGGGCTCAGATTTTGGTGCCCTCAAGAGTTAATGTCACCTTGAAGATCTACAAATTGCTCCACATGTGCCAGGCAGACCCAGGAGGGTTATGGAGGCTCACACATCCCCCAAAAGTCCAGATGTTGGGGTCCTAACCCCCAGGGCCTTGTATTGAGAAATAGGATCGTGCCGATGTAATTGGCTAAGATGAGCTCACAGTGGGAGGAGGAGGGGCCTAATTCAAGACGATCTGTGTCCTGAAGAGGAGGACTTTGAACACAGATACACCCAGGAGAACGCTGTGCGAAAAGACAGACGCACACAGAGATGTTAAGAGACATAAGAGAAGATGCTGCCTGCACACCAAGGAAAGGGGGTGGGGACAAATCCTCACAGTCCTAGGAGGAGGGATCATCCTACTGCCATCCTGTCCTTGGACTTTGGGTAAATTTCTGTTAAGGCCATCCAGTTAGTGGCATTTTGTTACAGTTGCCCTAGGAAACAGATATAGCGTTTCATATGTAGTTGCTACTCTCACAATGCTCTTTCGGTATTTATTGTTCCCATGATTCTCCTTTGCAGGTGAGAGGAGAACAGAGGCACAGAGAGGCTGAGGTCACATGGCTGGCAGGCAGGCAGCTCAGATGCAACACCAGGAGGCCTGGCTCCAGAGTCCTTGCTCTGACCATCCCATGGAGCTGCCCTGTCTACTCAGTGTTCAGCCACCATGTATACCTGCATCTAGCTCCTTGTGTCCTGTCCCCTGCCGTCGCTGCTGGCTCCATCATTACCACAGCCTCCTGGTCCCTCTAGAGTGGGGCAGGGTGAGCCCCTCTCCTGTTTCAAGGAAGAGTCAGCTATTTGCAAACTGCATTCTTCCCATTTCCATCCTGGAACACATTTACTGCCTCTCATACTCCAGCTGCCACATGGCCCAGGTGGCTTTGAACATGCAGACTGGGAGAGTGCTGGCCTCACTGCACAGTCTCTCTCCACCCAAACTCACAGCCACCTCTCCTTTTATTCCCGTCCCCCATGCAGCGTTCACACTTTCTCCTTCAAGCCTGTTGTGATCTTTATTAGTAAACTCCACTTTTCAGTAGTGACTGCTTTGGGGGTTGCTGTCTCCTAAAATCAAATTCCTGTTCCTACCAGGTTACTTCCTGGTGCCCCCACCAGGCTTACACCCCTACCCAACCTCTGCTGCTGCTTTCTCCCCATTGAGAGAAAT